ATCTGTATGTGAAGTGACATTATAAGGTCAAATTATTTTTTGTACAAACTTAGATTTCAGCTATGCAGTAATACTTCATTCTGTGGCGATTACTAACCTCAGATTAACTCTTCTGGAACTTTGAAGAAACTTCGCATGGTGCAAGACTATCTTAATTTTCGCCATTTATAGATCATAAATTATCGAGATCTTTTTTTAAAAAAATTTGCTGAGACGTTAAAAATAATTATTTAAAAAATAAAAGAAGTTAAAAGAATCATTTTTTTTTCAAACCTAAAGTTTGTTTTAAATTTTCTTTATAGAACGGAAAGGTCCGGAAATTTACATTAAGCCACTAGTTAACTTCCCGTAGGGCAAGTTATAGTAATCGCAAAAAAATCGAAAATGAAAATTTTTGCATTTCTCGACATTTCAAAGGTTTCTGAATATTTTGGCATACCTTAGAAAAAATGGATGTATGTGTGTGTGTGTGTGTGTGTGTGTGTGTGTGTGTGTGTATGTATGTGCGGATACAAATTTTCGTCGACGATTTCGGGAACACCGATCAACCGATTTGAATAATTCAAAAAACATTCGATTCGTATTGATAAGGAGACGTGCTGATTAGTTTTTGGCGAAGGCAGGTCTAGCCGTTCCGAAGATACGGGGCAAAAAGTGCCGAAAACGGTAACTCAGTTTTTAAGAGAACGGAGCGTCCGATTTCAATAATTCAAAAAACATTTTACTTGTATTGACAAAGTGAAAAACCGATCAAATTTTCATAAAGGCAGGTCTAGCGGTTTCGGAGATCTAATGAAAAAAGTAAAAAAAAATGCCATTTGGCGGTCAAAAATGATCATTAGACATATGCACATCAAATTATCAGATATTTTATAGAGATTTTAACAATAAGTATGAATTTGGTTTACAGTCCTATGGGTTCCGTACCAATGTTTACGCGTTAGACGTCGACGCGGCGCTTACGCGGTTTGATATTTCGGCTTTATGCAGTTAAAGCAGTACGATTGCTTTGAAAAAAAGTTTAGATCTTTCAAAATATGTCAAAATAAAAAAAACATTTTTTTTTCAAAAAAAAAAAAAATAAAAAAAATAAATAAATAAAAAAAAATTAAAAAAAATTTTTTTTTCAAAAAAAAGTAATTTTTTGTCTAATTGTTTGTCAAAAATCTTATTTTTTCGAAGTAAATTTTTTTCAAAAATGTTAATCGTTTTTAAAAAAATAATAATTTTTGGTACGGGAAGTTTCAGCAATTTGCCTTAAGGCACGATGCCTTAATTGCCTTAAGACAGAATTCCACTTACAGCTAGTTTATAATTAAATTGAAATAGATGTATTTTATTTGTGTCGACCGTCATTTTTCGTTTTTCCCTGTGCATTACCTAATGCATTTGGATTCAACGCCATCGTCGCACTTTCGTGACACACAATACACAATACGTACTGATTGCACTCCCTTTGGGGAAAACATCAGTTGAGCATTCCGATAAGAAAATGTACGCCGTGGTTCTCCGCAACTACCAATTCGAGAATTCACTCTAGAAAATGAAACACTATCGCAATGCACTGCATAAATCATTTTTCTATTGGTGTTTCTATGGGATGAACATGAAATTGTTTCGAGGAAAACAAAAAAATAATTGAATAAATAATTTTACATGCTTTCTGAAATAATATTGTATTTGAAAATATTTAAACAATTCATGAAGAAGGTAGATTTACGAAATTTAGTGTTACTTCCGTCGAATTAAATTATCTATTGTCACTTCAATTGTTATTCGTTTCAACTAATCTCCACCACATAAAATAATAACGGTTTCTTGTATACAGATAGTTCACTCTGTTTATTATTTTCGGTTTCTCATATTAAGTTTAGTTTAAGAATATAAAATAAAACACATTTGTCGAAAATTATAATGTATAGGAACAAATCTGAAGTATTACTAAAGTCATTACTATGTGAAATAGTATAGGAAAAATCTTCAAAACTAACTAAAAGTTAAAAACCGTGGATATTATTTGTGAATAGTATATGTTTAATAAAAAATATGCATCTTCAACTAAAATCTTAATTCTTAGAATTATTATTAGATTATGTTACAAAAATTATAACCAAGCCTTCTAATATTTACAAAATCTTTGGTATTTAATAATTAGGGATACAAGATACAAAAATAGTTATCCAATTAGTAAGTCAAAATTAGTAATTTTACATTTCTGTACCTTCGCCCTTATGTTTTTTATATTTCATTGCTATTATTATATGCTTTATCAAATACTAATAGAGCAAAATTTAAAAAAATATATTTTTATTATAACAATCCATTTTTGTCAATCAAAACCAAAAAAAAAAAAAAAAATATTTTATTGTACAAAATATAGGAGTCAGAAAAAGATAATATAAAAAATTAATATAGAACGAAACAAGTAATATATAATAAAATAATAAAAGTGATACAAAAATATTAAACCTCTCCACTCGGATGCCGTCGCTCCGGTGGCAAAATTCATATACATCTCGGAATTCGCGAGTGGAAAGGGTTAATAATATAAAATAAAACTATGATTATATCAACATAACGAATGATACTAATTTTTCTTAGAATACTTATTGTTAGTGTCCAAAGTTTAATCCTGGTTTTACTGTTTTTTCTTTTGTAATGTATGCACTGCCGCAAATTAAATTAATAATGAAAATATATTAATATAGTTATTTTGGTGCCACCATTACCTTGTTGATTTTTATCTTAGCGTTATCATATAGATATGGCCTTAAATAACATATCGCACACGATGTATGTCACGATGTGCATGTGGTTTTATCAAATAATGCCCGCCGACCATAAGAAATTATGTTTACACTAAATTAATTTAATTTAATTATAAAACATTGAAATAAGTTTTATAAACTGTGTGGTTTTATCACCCGCCAATAAATTTCTGTTCAAACAAAATAGTTAAATGTGGCTGAGAATTCAAAATCGTTTAATACACATTTGTGGGTGAATTTGAATTTATTCCAGTGAAATTTTGAACAAAAATCTCATGTTTCAATACGCCAGGTTTGGTTAGATTTAAGTAATTATTCATGTTGAATTTTAATAAACTAATTTTAAATATTACCATATCCATAAAAACTTTTAAATTTTGTTTATGATAATTTGATTTTGTAAAGTCATAACTCGATTTGAAAACAAAATCCTATAGTTCTGTTCAAAATCGTTGTATTATTTTTTGTTTTTTCCCTAGCGGGATTCAAATTATTCGACATGTTTTTTTGATTCATTTTAAATTTAATAAAATTTTAATTTAATTGGTAAACCAAATCACTTCTACATTAATATACATACAAATTGTTCATTTCACGTAAGTACAATTTTATTAATTTTCTATAAAATATCGCATAAATCGATGGATGGAATGTTTGACTCATTATTATTACAATTATAGATTTTGACACTGTCGTAAATATCTAAAATTTTACCGGATCAGTTTATTTAAAACTTCAATACTCATACATTTAATATTAACATAAATTTCGTAAAAAAATGTTTATCTGGATATTCCTTATGCATCTTGTATCACTAAAATGTATTATAGTCATTATTATATATTTGTAGGCAATATGCATTATTTATGTGATGTTTTTAGTCAAATGATGATTAATGATTGTCAGATAGACAAGACATTTGTTTATTAAAATATGTCAAATATGTTTTTATAATATAAGTAAGTAGAACTATATAGCTTTCTAACATTTTAAAGTGTTATAATATAAGTAAGTATACTATATAGCTTTCTAACATTTTAAAGCTTATATAGTAAACTTTTCGATATACAAAAATTCATGATTGCACACATATTGATACGAATAATATGTAAAATCTTATTCAATCTTAGGTAAAATCAAATATCATCTAATTACTTTAAAAATGTTCCTGATGAATAATCATAGCGTTTTTCATATCCAGTGTGTGGTATTTTCTTACAGGGTATCGATTAATAAAGAATTAATTCAATAATTAATATTTGAGCCTCAGAAATAATATTATTTTTCTGTTTATCGGTTCATTTTGAAACAATCTTGCCATTTTTAGATCTGACTAATAAATAGAGGGTTAACGTTTTTTATGTAGATTATTATCAGTATATAAAACAAAACCTTATTTTGGTTATATCAATTGTATAAATTTTATAATTGATTTGGTTACTTATGATTAATTAAATTATGAACAATTAGATATGATCAATATATTACTTCAGAGAGTGAATAAATTCTAAAAGTCAACAAATAATTTCTTATTCTTATTGAGGGTATAACATGTAAATACATTTTACAGGTTTACTCTTCTGGGATTTTGATGAAACTTTGCATGGCAATTGAGTTGATAGTCAAACCGAACATTTAAAATATAAATAAATATTATAGGCCTATGAGAAGCGGTTTAATTATAAATATTGGTTAAAGATTTTTAAAAATTGTGAGAAGTAATTTGGTACGGCTACAGTTCCTTGATATGATTTTACTAGTTGTAGTAAATAATGTGATTTGATGCCGTCAAAGTGCAAATACGTGGTAGTTCTTAATTTTTTTTTATTAGGTTATGCCTCCGCTTTTTTTCTTTATTGACATGATTTTCTCGTATTTTATTTAGGCGGGGGTGCCTGGTATAGGAGGTTATGAAACAATTTTTGTATATATATACTTATATATATATATATATATATATATATATATATATATATATATATATATATATCATTCTTTATTATAATAAAGAATATAAGCTTTGCAATCAGTCAGCTTATCTTTTGAATATTTTTTTTCTTCAATTTTTTTGTAATTATTCTCTATTTTTCTTTTAAAATTATTGTCATCACTAGTCATCCTGATATCGCTCAGAAGTTCATTATAAATTTTTGAAGTGTATTTAAAATATTAAATTAAATTTGGCATTTAATTAATTTATTATATAACTAACTGTGTTTTTGTTATTTTCAGATCAATATCGATAGCACATTGCTGAAAAATAACTAGATCCAGTGAAACGAGTGAGCTACCGAGTGGTCGCCTCCTCAGAAGAGATATCAACCTGGAGCCACCGCCTCCGCCAGCCCTGGCGCCTTCTAGTCCCGACATGGATGATGCCAGCTCAAAGCGGCAAGCGACAAGGTAATTTTAATAATATATTTAATATCCACGTTATTTATTATTTACTTATAATTTTAGAAATAGATACTGAGCATAATTTGCATCACTGCGGAAACAACAATAGTTTGTTTTAGAATCTACATTTTTTTCAGCAGAAGTATCATTACAATTATTTTGACTCTTCAGCCGTTATTGTTTATTTCCATATTTGGCATATGATTGATACAAATTAATATATAGAGAATAGAGATGATTTAAAATATTGAAAAAGTGGGAAACGAATGTTTTTAATATTTGAATTGTATCAGATACCGAAATGCCAATGCAATTTATCATTAAAAATACATTCAGCCAACGAAAATAATCAGCTATAACTGATTGACAGCTTATTGCCGTGATTTCCAACCTGTGGAGCGCGCCCCCTCAGGGAGTTGCATACGTCTGCTTCCAAAATACTATTTTCAAAAATGAACCAAAATTTTTAAACACTAGTGGGTCGCATGGCATCGTGCCTTAAGGCAAATCGCTGAAACTTTCCGTACCAATTTTTTTTTTTAAGATTAACATTTTTGAAAAAAAATTACTCTGAAAAATTAGATTTTTTGAGAAACTATAAATTTTTGACAAAAATTAACTTTTGTTGAAAAAAAGACTTTTTGAAGAAAAGTAAATTTTTAAATATTTTGGAAATTCTGAACTTTTTTTCAAAGCAATCGTACTGCTTTAACTGCATAGAGACGAAATATCGAAGCGGGTAAGCGCCGCGCCGCCGTCTAACGGATAAGCATTGGTACGGAACCCATAGGAATGTAAACAAAATTAATATTTATTGTTAAAATCTCTATTAAATATCTGTTAATTTGATGTGCATATGTCTAATGATCATTTTTGACTGTCAGATGGCATTTTTTTTACTTTTTTTACTAGATATCCGAAACCGCTAGACCTGCCTTCATGAAAACTGATCAGTACTTCATTTTGTTGATACAAGTAAAATGTTTTTTGAATTATTTAAATCGGACGCTCCGTTCTCTTAAAAACTGAGTTACTGTTTTTCGCACTTTTTGCCCCATATCTTCGTAACGGCTAGACCTGCCTCTGCGAAAAACTAATCAGCACGTCTCCTTATCAATACGAATCGAATGCTTTTTGAATTATTCACATCGCTTCATCCGTGTTCCCGAAATCGTCGACGAAAATTTGTATCCGAACACACATACACACACGCACACACACACACACGCACACACACACATACATCCATTTTTTCTAAGGTATGCCAAATTATTCAGAAACCTCTGAAAAGATATTTTCATTTTCGATTTTTTTTGCGATTACTATAACTTACCCTACGGGAAGTTAATTACATAAAAAAAACAAAAAATAATCAGTTTTTAAGCATATTTTTACTTTGCATATTGTTGAAAAAATTGAGGGGGACAACATTTTATTTGAGCGGGGGGCGCATTTTATTATTTTTTAAGGGGGGCGCCATTTTTTTTATGAGAGCGGGGAGGGGCGCAGCGTGAAAAAGGTTGGAAATCACTGGTTTAGAATCTACATTTTTGCCACCAGAAGTTTTATTGAAATTATTTTGATGCTTCAGCCGTTATTGTTGAACTTTTATGTTTGGCATATGATTGATTCTTACTATATAGAGAAAAGAGATGATTTTAAACATAGTTATTACAATTCTTTTGCGATAACCAAAAATTGAAAAATGCGTAACGAATATTTTCTAATATTTGAATTATATCAGAAACCGAAATGCCAATGCAATTTGTCATTAAAAATATTTTTGGTCTAAAAAAGCTTTATATTCAGCTAACAAAAATAATCAACTATGACTGATTGATAGCTTATTGTGGCGAAATGATTCAATATCATTGCAATTATTATCTTACAATCTTTTCTTTGAAATATCTACAAAGCTAATAAAATATCATGCCATGTCTACCTTGCATCATCTTATCTCGAAAAATTTATTGAAGTGATACACAAAATTATTGAAAAAGATAAATGATATCAAAATAGTAAATAATTAGTTATAAATATTGAAAAGTGACAAATAAAAGTTCATATATTATGTTGTAAATTAGACTTTTTTGCAGAAAATCATAAATGATAATTTATATAATTAATGATCTATATTGATTTAAGTTGAAACTTAGAAATATATACAATTTTCAATATTTCTATGCCACAATAATTTCTACTATGACCTATTTTTTTTTTTTCATTTTCAAGTTGAATTCAAGATTAGGTGATTTACTTTCATCGTTCTTCGTTGAGCTTAAACTTGATTCTCAAGAATTATAAACGAAATGATGCATACGTCGTCGGAAAAAGACTGTCAATTGTGAGTCAAACTCGAAGGTTTAGACTACCAAAATAAGTTACTCTCATACAACCTATAAAATGAAGACAAAAGATTCTTTAAATGTTTATTAATCGTATATTTTTAAGAGGCGTTTGATAAAATTTAATTCATTTTATTGGTGTTCAACATTAATTGTACATGAATTCTACTTCATATATGTTATTATATACTATTGCATATCTCTCGGCCTTTTAATAGATGTTTTATTATTAATTTTCATATAAATAATGAAGCATAATTGACTTGTATTTACTAAACCATTAATCTTTAAATTTGCGCTATTGATATTTTTATCCCGGAAAGACATTTTGCGTATGATCCATATGATTTTCCTGTAATTTTTCTCGCATTAATAGTTTTGTTCGAATTTAACATTTTTTGTTGAAATTAACAATGGATTTTTCTGGTCATATAATATAAAGATTAAATTTAGTTAATTTGTTAAATATTTCGTCGTCCTTCAATTAATAATTGCTTCTAATTTGAAACCGCTACACAGTGAAAACTTTGAACATTTTTATGTACATAAATGTAATTTACTAAATAGTTATTTTTAATTAAAACTTATATTTTTTATTTCAGAGTTTTTAAGAAGAGTTCTCCTAATGGGAAGGTAATACTATTTAATTTAAACTAATATTAAGATGTATCAATTGATTCATGCATATTTTAATATTTGTTATGATTTCATTATTATATAGATACTATATGTTAGACAATGCAGTATTTAAAACGTATACAATTGTACAGAAATACTTTATGAACAGAACTTCCATAGTATTAATAATTGGATAACTAAGTAACTTCTTTCTTTTTAGTTCTTGCAAATCTTACAATGCTTCTATTTTGTCAATAGCATGGAGCAGCAGATTTTCTATTCCTATTATATTTAAAAGTCTTTTATTTCACAACAGTTCTTTCTTCTACTACTTTTTATCTTATTGATTACATGTTTTATGTATTTTTTTATTTTTCAGATAACAGTTTACCTTGGTAAAAGAGATTTTGTGGATCACATTTCACATGTAGACCCTATAGGTAAAATATTCTAAATTATAATTTAATATAACACTAGATTTCTGCCTTCAACTTTTATTAAAAGTAATAGAGAAAAATATTTAAAAAACAGCATTCAGTAATTAGATATATTGGTATTTGTGATAATTGCAGATGGTGTTGTATTGATTGACCCTGAATATGTTAAGGAACGCAAGGTGTTCGGTCATGTCTTGGCTGCCTTCCGATATGGCCGTGAAGATCTTGATGTTTTGGGGTTAACGTTTAGAAAGGATTTATATTTAGCGTCTGATCAGGTATATAACAAAAAGAATGTATTCGAACGAAACAAATATTTAGTTTAAAAAATCATTTCATATGAATTATTAAAGTTAAAATACACGTTAGCACAAAAAGGAGTCAAGCTCGGTATTATTTTTTTAGATTTTTCCTCAAGATGGTTGCAGCAGCAAAAGACCTTTGACGCGACTTCAAGAGAGGTTGATCAAAAAGCTTGGTCCAAATGCATATCCTTTCTATTTTGAACTGCCGCCACACTGTCCAGCATCGGTAACTCTACAACCCGCGCCAGGTGACACAGGCAAGCCGTGCGGAGTTGACTACGAGCTAAAAGCATTCGTTGGTGAGACGTCGGATGATAAACCACATAAAAGGTCGGTAATATTGTAGGAAAAACTACATACTGCATTATGAATATTATGAACGATACTTAAAATTAGACTATACACATGGTCAACAACTAGTTCTTGCTCTAGCAACAATCACTCGGTACCTACTTATATTCACTTCACTTCTAGAAATATATCTAATGTTACCTTAGCAGAAAGAGAATGGTCAGAAAGAGCATGGTTTCTAACAAACACTGGGTTTAAAAACCGTTTTTTGGCGAATATTATGGAATTCGAAAACCGTTTTTTTAGTGAAAAAAGTCGGTTTTCACTGTATAAATGGAAAATGACAAATATAGCCAAATATAAAAGATAGATGAAAGCGTTTTGATTCTTGAAATCATATCGGTTCAATAGCATTTGGAATGTTATCAGTCTGCAATGGTTCCCAGAATGGTTTTGTGTTATCTTTTGACTAATGTATATTAATTGAGATTTTTATACCAGTTGTATATATTAATTTAAATCAGTTTGATTTCTTGAAGAAGTGACTTCCTCTACTCAAACTTAAAAAAAAAAGAGTTTTAAACCCTAGAAGCTACAAATTAAAGAACAAAAAATTTGGAATTATTATATCAGGCTTTAAAAACAATTAACCATAATTTGGTCGCAAGTATGAGAGTATTTTCTATTTCAGGAAATTTTGTGAGTAAACAAGACACGTTTAAGTAGCAATTCGATAGATGTTCTCAATTTTTTTAAATCATATTTTATTAAACAAAAAACAATTAGAATGTTTAAAATTAATTAATTAAAATTGCTCGGAACAAAAATAAAAGTTTAGATTAATTGTTTTTAAAACTAAAATTGATATTAACAAGTATGTATCATGTATCTAATATTTTTTTATTTTTTTTTATTTAATGCATTTTTTTATTTAAAAATGTATTATTTTTATTTATTCGAAAACTTTCCTTTCACTATCATAAAAATATGTTCATTCATATATATGAAAATGATGCATGAATAACGAATAATTATTTTCAAAGTCATTTAATCAAGATAAACTATTATTTTTTAGTTCTACTAATTAAAATTAAGTTTGTTTACTATCTATAAAATTGAACAATAAATAAAGTCAGTCAAATACTATTCTAAATTACACTAAATTTGCGGATAAATTACAGAATATTCGAGCAAAAATTTATTTTTTATATAAAATTCGAAAACCGGTTAAAACCGTTTTTTTTTTTCTAAAATTAAAATTCGAAAACCGGTTTTCTGAAATGTCGGTTTTTGTATAAACCCTAGTTCATACGTACGTATGTTTTTAGATCATATATCTACATGTATGGAGCTCTTTTTCATTTCTTAAAATCCTAGTAAAGTCTTCAAAAAAAGGGGAAATATGATATAAATATATCACATCTCTCTATATCGAAGAATACGACTTCGCTTATCTCCAATTGCCCTTCTATTTTTGCTCCAAATCAATATTTTTTATTTTTGAACAGAATCAATAGATCATCAGGTTTTAATTATTTTTCTTCGAATGATCTACCATAATTTCATTGATAGATGTTTAATTATTTTCACAGAAATTCGGTTCGTCTAGCAATTCGTAAAATAATGTACGCTCCTAGCAAACAAGGAGAGCAACCATCGGTGGAAGTATCAAAGGAATTTATGATGAGCCCTAACAAGTTACACTTAGAAGCTTCCTTAGACAAAGAGGTATGGAAACTTGTTAATAATATATGTTTTTAGACATCAAATCACAGAGATGGTTGATACATTAATAGTAGTAGAAATAGAAATCTATGCAGTCACAATGAGAAATTTCATCCAAGTTAATGTTAATGTACAATAATTCATTTGTGATGTGTATTCACGACGCATGCAGAACATATGATCAGTGGTATCTCGGCCTATTCCACATTTATTTAACGAGTTTGTTGCAATATCAGCTCAATGAATGATGTGTATTTTAAATGTATATCTGAATCTTAAACCGCGCATTATATAAACTTTTTATTTAGACGGAGGATCCCTTCAACTTTCGTGAAACGGAACAGTTTGTTGACTGTCGATAAAATTCATTTTTGTTTTAAGAATGTATTAAATGCTTTTTGTCATTATTTTAAATTATCATTTGAATTTTTAATTTTAATTCCTAATTTTGCCTACCTAAGTTATTCACAATCATAGACAAGGAAATTCACAATATTGTCTTAAATAGAATTCAATTGATATTTTGTCGCGTGTAAAGTACAATACTTTGATTATGTATTTAAGGATTTTTACTCGTTTGTGAAAATATGAAATTAAATTAAAAAAAAACTTACAAATTGGTTGGGTTTTTAAAAAATATTCATCAATATTTCTAATTGTTCGTATTCTCCAGATTCTGTAACTTATTTTTTTTTTCAGTTATACCATCATGGCGAAAATATAGCAATTAATGTACATATAGCGAATAATAGTAATCGGACGGTCAAAAAAATAAAAGTTTCAGTCCGACAGTTCGCTGACATATGCCTATTTTCCACAGCACAATATAAATGTACTGTAGCAGAAGCTGAAAGCGAGTAAGTCTGTTATAGATGTTAATAAATGTTTTATTATGATGAATAGGAATTATAGTTTAATTATATCTAGTCAAAATAATATTACATAGTGGTGATATTATTTTATATGATTTAATTAGATATTAAATCTATCCGCGTGTTAGAAATGAAATTCAGCAGCAAATTGAAAGCAAAATAACTGATGTTATTTAAAAGAATTATATTTTTAATTTTACACATTCGAACCAAATGTGTTAGAGCTAGAAAAATTTAAAAAGAGGATTACAACTAGAAAATTACAGTTAGATTAAATTGCTTGATCAAATCCTAGAGAAATCATACTGAGTCATAATTATTATATTTATATACAAGCTATTAAAATTATTTATATAGGTTTAACTAAAATAAAAACCATAGTAGTTCATTTCATAGAATATAAGTTAGATTATTTGATTGACAATTGGATCGCGCGAATCGCATGTTCTTCGTTAATCTAATGTATATTAGTTTCTGTTTTTTATATAATTTATTTGAAATTCATTTAAATTATTTTTTTTTACATTCTCTAGAAAACTTGATTTTAAAAATCAAAAATGATTTCCCAAACCTAAACCTTATGATGTAAATTGAAGTAAATTTAGAAAAATGTAGGGAATGATGTTAGTTTTTAGATTAATTAGTAAGAGATAGAATATGACACAAAAATCGTAATACAAGTATCTAATATAAAATGTAACTATATGAGCGTAGTCTGAAATATTAGATCGCAATACTATGTGCACTGGTGGGTCGAGTGAACTGGGATAAAATATATATTATTATTTTAACTATTTCTATTTCGGAATAATATTAAACTTTTTTATATTGATATAACTTACAAAAAAATTGTTTCAGAGTTTGTACAACTACATTTGCTATTTGAATAATGTTAAGTAAATAGATCAATATCATTTTAAACTAAATCTCGAATTTTATTTTTATATATTATTGTTTACACGTGCATGTCTAAAATGTGGTCAAATCGTTTCCAATTATTTTGGTTTATGAAATATAGTTTATTCTGGATTACGCAGATCTCGTTTGCACATTGACTTGCGGTCCATAAGAGTGGAGATATAAATGCATAAAATAGGCAATCTTTAGTCTTCGAAAACGGCTCCGTTTTTATTATAAATGAATTTTCTATCAATTATTTTGAAGCGATGGTGGAATGATATTTACGATATTACTCCGTGAAATGGGTGTTCCATGCTGTAATGGTTAAGCTCACGGACTCGTGTGGACGCCCTGAACAATCTGACATCAGGCAGTAGCGATGTCTATTTTAATATAGATGAAAAATATGTTTCCACTTGAAAATAATCCATTTCTGGACTGCGGTATGAAATGGCAATGGGAAATCTTTCACGCTATTCTTTCCTGAATCGAGTTGAAGTTTAACTCAGCTCACGGAATAAAGTATTCTACTTCAGTGATTACAGTGGAACTTAAACTTCTATTTGCGACCAGAATCATCAAAATTTCTTTCGAGTTTTTGAAATAAATATTATGCACTACTTAGATTCCGAGTAGTTACACCTTGTTAATGATTCTACAATTCTGATTCTCTGATTTTGTATGTTTGAATTCAGTCGCACATTAACTACATCACTTACGAAAGACGAATTAAATATTATACATGATGACCATCACCAATTATACAATACATGACAATTCTGCACATTTTTGAATCAGTTATTAACACTTTCGCTACGAGCGTCGCCTATAAGAGACACCCAATTAACTGTCTCTGTGTGCGGGTGTCACCTATAGACGACTTTTGTTTCAATATTTATCACTCCGAGTTAAATCATTTACTATTCTAATTTGTTGCTGTGGTTATCTCTTATTTAGAAGTGTAATTTAAATTTTTTAAGACATTTTTATTGATAATGATTAGATAACCTTAAAACATTTAGTGTAACAAATACTTATGCTATGCGGTATGCTGACTCGTATAGCAGCGTCACTTCTGCGGAAAACTTTTTCGTAGCGAAAGAGCCTAGAAAAGAATATTTGATATTATGTGTAAGTTTGCCGAATTCTAAATATTGGATTCTTCACGGAATAGTAATCTTGAATTATAACATTTTATTATATCATCTCCACTTTGTCGCTTTAAAATAATTTGGTTTTTAAAAAGAGGTAATATTTGAATCGGAGCTGTGTTTGAAGACATCAAAAAAATGCGATTTATTATCTCCGCTGTGTGTTAGTGTGTGTGTACGATTGAAAGAGCAGAAAGTGTTGAACTTTCGATACTGTATCACCAATTCTCTGTATGAAAATGTTGCACAATGGTACCGACACTTACAGAGCGGGCTTTCCAGTTGCGCCAGGTTTCACACTATCGAAAGTTTATTCGGTGCGACCGCTCCTGGCCGACAATAAAGACAAGCGAGGGCTAGCGCTAGACGGTCAGCTCAAGCACGAGGACACGAATCTAGCTTCCTCCACCATGTGAGTTGAGGGCACCTCTCACGGAACCCTCCCCCCTGATTATACTCTGTCATGGGTCATTGCGAATTAACGAATGCTATACATATTTCTAGTGCCCGCAATGTTTTTCTCGAATTGTTTATTGGCAATATTAAAATCAATTCTTGCACATTATTAAAAAATGCAACTCGGTTCAAGTTACAATGAAAATCTTACTCGCTTTTACCAGTTTTATGATTATTAAATTTTGCTTTTAATCTACTTCATTTCTATCGTTTACATGAAATTAGTTTTAATATCAAATCCGGGACGAAATATTAGCTTGGCAAATGGGTGTAATTAAGGGGGGTATTCTAGTGTAGAAATTTAAAAATAGTTTTTCTTTTTTACATTTTCAAAGTTTAATTATTTAAAAATATGTTACGAGAGGATTTTCAAAAATTTTAATTATCTTTGGAGATACAGCTGTTTGGCTATGATAATCCTCTTCTGTTTCCTTTCCTTTACGGAACATTCAACACGTTTTTTCTAAACTCGATATGTTGACCACGGTTTCGCGAGTTTTACTGGACCGATTTACTTAAAATTTTCCGAGAATATTCTTTACAGACTTTTCTCAGGTTTATACTAGTCTTATCTCTCGATTTTAAATCGAGAGACTCAAAATAGCAGTAAGAAATTGAT